AGTCTGAAGTCCAAGCTGAGTTGAATTATCTGGAGCACTGTCTCCCTCCTTCATTGTTCTCCAAGATCTGGGCAGGAACAGAGAGTGAAATCTTTCCAGGACATTACATCAGTTCCCCTTTTCCCCTTGGCATGAAAGTGCTTCCACTCACAGCCCTCCCTGACTTCCTAAGGCTTGCCCCCACGATACACCCACGCCCCAGCCTTGAAGCCCGGACATCAAAGAGAACCTGCAGGTAACCAGATTATTGGCCAATGCCTGTGTTTCTTTTGTGATTTAGAAGACGGGAAATGGATTCCGGAAATGGGGTAGTTTTTCCTAGTACATGACCTCCATGATCCTTGAGTCTTGTTAAACCTTAATATCTCTTAAGTAAAGAGAGACGTCTTTTCAGCAAAAAGAGATACTTAGAAACTATTTGAAGCTCAGAATGAAGCTGTCTTAAGTAGTTACTCTCCAGTAATCACACTCTGAAAAATGCAAAGGAACCACGATAAATTTGTCTTTGTGGAGGGCAGAGTTTAGGTCCTTATTAGCTATAAAAAGAGTATTTGCCTTGTCACCAAAAAAGGTCACTTCTGTCATAAGATTATTAAATCTTAGACGTTAAGACTTAATTAGACATAAGATAACACCATTCAGTCAGTACTCTGAAATAAAATGAGGTGAAGGGCGTGTGCCATTCCAACCTAGAGCTGGCAAGATTTGTCAGGACTTTGTATTAGCTCGTGCCTATAATCCTAGCACTTGGGAGGCTGAGGCAAGGGGATTGCTTTGAGTTTGGACTGCTACAGTATGAGACCCTGTCTGTTAAGAAAGAGCCAGGCGATGGTGACACACACATTTAATCCCAGCACTCCAGAAGCAGAAGCAGGTGGATATCTGTGAGTTCAAGGCCAGCCTGGTCTACAGAGGGAGTTTCAGGCTAGCTAAGGCTGCACAAAGAAACCCTGTCTCCAAAAAAGGAAGGGACAAAGGAAAGAAAGAAAAGAACACTTTTATAATAGAAACTATCAAACCCCACAAGTACTGTCAAGCATTAGTCACCACCAGACCGTACTTCACCTGGTCCTTCTTTGCCTCTCAGTATCATCCCATCCATAACTAGTTCTGGATAGGCCTAGAAGGATAAAGGCCATTTATAAAAGCAGAAGCCCAGAGCCAGGGCTTCAGCTCAACCCCAGTAGGTCCTCTGCACATCCTTTCCGTGATCACCAGCTGGAAATGCTGTATATAGTGTGAAGCCTAAGAAAGGGCCTCAAGATTACAAGTGTTGGTGGATCTCCCCAAGCCCTCTTTAAAGCAGGTAGTCACAATGGAACAACCACATAATGCCTGTTGGCTGCCTTTGACTGGCCTTTATAAGAGGCTTGGATCCCAAGTTTAGATTTGGGTTGTTTTTTTGTTTGTTTGGTTTTTTTTTGTTTGTTTGTTTGTTTTTTCTGGATTTTGGAATGGTTTGCTTACGGTGAGACGGGTTGGTGACAGGACCCAAGTCTAAACATGAACTTTATACATACACCACACATGTAGCCTGAAGGAAATTTGATAGAATATTTTTCAACTGTTTTGTTGATGAAACAAAAGTCAATGATGGGGCATTTTCCGCGGGGGGAGGGGGGGGCAAGCATTTTGTAGACACACTCAGCAAGTTTCAGATTCTGGAGGGGTTTAGATGAAGAGTTCTTATGCTTATTCTGATAATAAGCCACCCGTACTACCCCCCACCACCACCACCACCACGGATTTTCACTGGCAGTCCTCCTGCCCTGGCCTCCCAAGTGCTAAGATGACAGGCATACACCTCCACACCCAGCACAGCCTGACTGTCTCTTTTCTTATGGCTTTCAGTTGCTTCGCTGTCAAGTGCCTGGGTGTGATTTCCATTGTGTGTAACCAGCGTGGGGTTGCTGGGCTTCTGGAACTTTCTAGTTTGTTGTTGACATTGTGGCTCTCGTCCCTTGAATTTGGCCATTATTCCTTCCCCTCTCCCTCCCATCCATTTTCTTCTACACTCCAGGCGTATTTGGTGTTTGATTTTATTACATTTCTAACCCTTTCATCTCCAGTGTACTATTAAGTCTGTCCAGTCTGCTCTTACATTTCATGGAGTATACTTTTTGGTTCTAGAACCTTCATTTTTGTTTCCTAAGTTTCCACTTTCTGTTTTGACAGTTCCTGTATGTCATTACTCATTGTGACTGTGATGTCCCTGAAATACTTATAGCTACCTTAAATTCCTTTAAACTCTCTTTAGCTAATCCCATCAGAGTCGCAGAATCTGTTTCTGTTGGTGGCTTTTTGATAGTAGATCACATCTTCTATGTCTAGAAAAATTGTATTGATATTGAACTTTACAGATAACTTGTTGTAGAGACTTTGAGTTTCGTCATATTCCTTTGAAGAGAATTGACTCATTCTTGCAGTCAGTTAATCTGTTAGCCAGTCCTTTCTAGTGTGTGGAGGCTAATTTACATTTCACTTCGGCAAATCTGCCTCAGTTTTGCCTTTAGCCCTCAGCGAGATCCCTTTGCACTGTAACACAGGATTTACTGTACCAGCACATGGCCATGCCAGGGTAATGGGCAGCCTGGGGTGTTGACAGGGCCTTTTAATTTAATGAGACTCAAACTCTGACCTGCTTCTCCACTCCAGTGGCCAGGAGCTGAGACTTCTCCTAACTTTCAGCCATACAACCACTGCTTTTGAATCTCCCCTGTGTGTGTATTGTTCAGGTGTCAGGCAAGAATTTGAGAGAACGTTAGCGTGCTCTTTAGTAGATCATCTTGGTCTGGTACTCTACCCTTGATGAGGCTTCCACAAGTTTCTGCCATTTGGGCATCCACTTGTGTCCCGGCAGCTCATGTGACTTTCCTTTCATCAGCAGACTTCCGCGTGCTGCACTGATGAAGATATTCTTGGGGGGAAACTGTAAATAATGTCTTGCTCTGTGAAGGTCCCAGCTTTTTTGGGTGTATCATATCCAGTGTCTATAAGGTCTGTGTGTAGGAGCTTTTTTGGGTGTATTATGTCCAGTGTCTATAAGGTCTGTGTGTAGGAGGTTTTTTTGGGTGTATTATGTCCAGTGTCTACAAGGTCTGTGTGTAGGAGCTTTTTTGGGTGTATCATATCCAGTGTCTATAAGGTCTATGTGTAGGAGGTTTTTTGGGTGTATCATATCCAGTGTCTATAAGGTCTATGTGTAGG